CCCGCCGCCCTCGCTCCCGGCCATCCATCCCCATCCAGCGGCTGGCTCCCCGTTCCTGGGGTGGGGGGGACTGGGGGTGGGGAATGTGGGGGGATCATGCCTCCAGCCCAGCTCTGCCGGGTCCTTGGGGGGAAGGATTCCTCCCCCCCACCCCACCCATCACCCCGGGACTGCAACTGCCTGCGCCTGAGCCTGCCTCCCGCCTCCCGCCTCCGACGGTGAGCTCCGTCCGCAAGGGCAGAGGTGGGTCTGATTCACCTTAGAGTCCCCGGGAGGTGGATGGGGGTGGGGGTGGGTGAGGGGTGGAATGGGGGGGGGGAAGGGAGGGATTGGGGGGAGACCGCAGAGGAGGGGTGGGGGAGGGAGGGGAAGAAGGCAGGGAGAGAGAGAGAGAGAGAGAGAGAGAGAGAGAGAGAGAGAGAGAGAGGAGAGCAGACCCTGATGGGGAGATGGGGGTGGGGAGGGAGCGGGAGAGAGAGGGGGAGACAGAGAGAGAGAGAGAGAGAGAGAGAGAGAGCGAGCGCGCCGGGAGGCTGGCCGGGGGAAGGAAGGAGGAGGAGCGGGAGGCGGAGGGGAGCCGGGGGAGCCGGGCCGGGCGGCGGGGCGGCGGCGGAGGGCGGGAGCGCCGGGCCCGCCGCCTTCTCCGGCCCTTTTGTCCCTTCCCTCCGCCCTGCGTCACGCTCGGCGGCGGCCCCCGCCTCCCCCGCCTCCCCCGCGGGCGGGATGGAATTTTTTGCCCTGGACCGCGGCCAGCGGCGGGGCCGGGGAAGCCAGGCGCGGGCCGGGCGGAGGGGCCGGGCGGGGGCCGGGCGGAGGGGGCCCGGGGCGGAGGGGGCCGGCCGGGCCGCGGGGCCGGAGCGGGCGCCGGGAGGAGGCCGGGAGCGGCCGCGGGCGGAGGATGGAGAGCCGCCGGCGGCCGCGGGCCGGAGACCGTCCCCTCCGACGCGGGAGCCGCGGAGCCGTGAGTCTGCGGGAGGGGAGGGAGGGGAGGGGAGGGAGGGTCCGGGCCCCCGGGGCCCCCGGGGGAGGAGGCACGGGGGCCCGGGATCTGGGGGGGCAGGGGGGCGGGTAGGTGGGGAAGCCGAGCTCCGGAATTCTTGGAGGCGGCGGCTGGGGTGGGGGTGGGTTGGGGATCCAGGGAAGGAGAGGGCGGAGACCATCCCCTGGAGGAGGGATGGGGTGGGGGTGCCCCGGATCCCGAGCCGGAGGAGACGCGGGGTGAAGTGCGGGGGGGAGGGGGGGTGCCTCCCGGGCGCGGGTCCGGCCGCGGCGGGGCGGCCGGCGGCGGGAGGGTTAACGTCTGTCTGTCTGGCGGGACGGCGGGCGGGGGAGGGGCGGGGAGGCGGCTGCGGGGCTTCGCGGGGTCAAGGGTGAGCCGCGCCGGGGGGAAGGGGCGGCGGGGGAGGGGGAGGGCGTCTGGGCCGCCAGACAGGCCAGGGTCAGCGGCGGGGGCAGGGGATGTCTGGCGGCGGCGGCGGAGAGGCCCTGCGCCCGCCCGGGCTCCCCCTGGGGGGACCTGGGATTCCAAGGCCCAGCCCCCCTCTCCCCCGTCCACCTGGGGGCCCGCCGCGCCCAGCCCCTTCCTCCCTTCGAATTCCAGAACCCGCGCCCCCTCCCCCCTCCCCCACCCCGCCCCAGCCCCCTGCAGCCGGGACCCGGGAGCCTGGCTCCCCAGCCTCTAGCCTCAGACTTTGGGGGTGCACACGCCAGCCCCCCCCTTTCACGAACCCCCAGAGCTAGGGCCAGCCTCCCCCCCCCCCACAGCCCCTTCTTCCCCAGAACCCAGGCGTCCCCACCTCCTCTCCGGCCCCAGCTGGACTCCATCCCTGCGGGGGCTGAGGGGGCGGGGCCGCCCGGTTGCCATGGTGCCAGACTGTTTGGGTCTGCTCTCTGACCCCTGGGGGCTCCCCAGGGTCTGCAGAGGGGGGAGGGGGACGGAGAGAGACCTGGGGGAAGTGCCGCCAGCCCCTTCCCCAAATCGCGCCTCGACGGGCCCAGGAGGGAGAGGTCCCGTGACCTTGAACCATCCTGACCCTTCTCTCTCCCGGGGCCTCAGTTTCCCCGAGGAGACATCTTTTGGGGGATTGGGGGGGGGGGCAAGCGGGCAGGCGATCCGGTCCTAGAGAATCTTTTAAAGATTCTCGGCTTCCTCTCTCCTCTCATCCCCCTCCTCAGGCCCCAGGCAGCCCCGGGGCATGCTGGGAACCAGGCCTGGGCTCCGGGCCAGGTTGTTGGGGGGGGGGGGCGCGGCGGGCGGCGGGGGCAGCCTCCTCCCTTCCCCTTCCTCCCCACCTTGGCCTGACTCTCGCCCCCGCCGGAGGGTCTGGGAGGTGGGGAAGGAGGGAAGGGGGGCTGGGGAGTGGGGGGCTGGGGGGGATGAGAGCTGGGACCGTGGACCAGTCTCTGGCCCCCTCGCCTCCTCCCCCCCTTTCCTCCTCCGCCCCCTTCCCGCCTCTCCTCCCCCTCCTCAGCAGGTCGCTACCCCAGCCCGGGGCCCCTTCTCCAGCCACCCCCACCCCACCCCACCCCCAGCTCCAGACCTGGCTCGGAGCGGCGAGGGGGAGGGAGAGAAGGAAGGAGAAAGACACAGAGAGAGAGAGAAGGAGAAGGGAGGGAGACAGCCAGAGAGAAGGGGATGGGGGGGGGGGAGAGAAAGACAGAGAGAAGGGAATGGGGAGGAGGAGAAAGACAGAGAGAAGGGAATGGGGGGGAGAAAGAGAGAGAGAGAAGAAAAAGGGAGGGAGACAGCCAGAGAGAAGGGAATTGGGGGGGGGGGGAGAAAGAGAGAAAAGAGAATGGGGGAGTGGGGATGGGGGGGAAGGGTGGAGAAAGACCTAAGAGGGTGGGAAAGAAGGAGAAAGGAGGCGAGGGAAGGGAGAGAGAGAGAGAGAGAGAGAGAGAGAGAGAGAGAGAGAGAGAGAGACGGATGGGGGGGTTGAGAGATGGAGAGAAAGAAGGGGGATGGGGAGGAGGGGGAGGGAGCGAGACTGGGAAATTGAGGGAGAGAATGAGAGAGAGAGGGACAAAGACGGAGGGAGGGGGGCGGAGGGAGGGAGGAAGAAAGACAGGAGGTGAAGGGAAGGAATGAGGGGAGGGAGGGCGGGGAGGACGCGGGCGTCTGAGAAAGGACCTGTGGGCCAGGGGGACCGGCAGGACCGCGGGGCGCGGGGAGGGAGGTGGGGAGGGAGGGAGGGAGGCGCGGATGCCGGCGGAGATGGGATCCAGGTGAGGCCGAGGCCGAGGCCGGGGCCGCCAGCGCGGACCGTGCAGCGGCGGGGGCTGGAGCTGGAGCTGAAGCTGGAGCTGAAGCTGGGGGGACGGGGCGGGGGGGGGCAGGGAGCGAGCCGGAGGGCCCCCCTGGGCACAGACTCCGAGCCCCGGAGGGAGGGAGGGAGGGTGCTGGGTGCCGCCCACCTGGAAAGCCGCCCCCTCCCCCCGCTTGCAGCGGCCAAGTCCCTGGAGCTCCCCGAGGCCCACCTGCAAAATAGGGGTGCGAGGTGGGGGGGGGGGGCTGGAGGTCCCTGGATCCCTTGGACAATGCTGGATCTTGGGGACCACAGCTGCCTCCCCATAAAGGACGAGGGGCCGCCCGAAGGGATGAGAGAGGGGAGAGAGGAAAGGAAGCTTTTGTGTCCCCCGGGCCGGATGCCGGATTCCTGTGCCTGACAGGTGGGTGGGGAGCCCCCTGGTTTCCGGGGGGCCGGACTCCCGACCAGGTGAGGTTTCCAGGAAACGGGGGCAGCCTATGCCTGACCCCCCCCCCCCAGGGAGACCGGTCCAGGCTGGACTGGAGCTGGGGGAGGAGGAGAAGGAGGGGCTGGGCCTGGACTCCAGGGACCTTGGGGAGGAAGGAAGGGGGTGGGTTTGGGGGGGGTGGGGGGCACTGAACTCCTGGGTCTTCCCCCCCCCCCGCGTGAGGACGGGCCAAGGGACTTGATTCTCCCCGGGGGTTCCCCAGGGGAGGAGGGGGCCGGGGGCCCGCATTCCTGGGCCCTGGCACCCACCCGTAGAACCGACCTTGCGGGGCCTTCGCCGCACACAAGCTCGTGTCTGTGGGTCCGTGTCGGGGGCTCACCATCGCAGCGGGGGCCTCCCCGGCCCTCCCCCACCCTCCCTGCCCCCCCTTTCCTCCTACCCCCCCCCCCGCGTCTGTCCGTCCATCCGTCTGTCTGTCCTCCCGCCGCGCCCCCCGGGCTGAGGTAGGAGGTTGTATAGTTGAGGAGGACACCCACGGAGATCACTATACGGCCTCCTAGCTTTCCCCAGGCTGCGCCCTGCACGGGACGCCCACCCGGCGGGGACCTTCCCCCCTGCCCCTGCCCCACCCCACCCCGCTGGGCTCCGGGGATGCTACCGGGACCCTGGGAGGAGCAGCGGGCCAGCGAGCAAGCAAGCAGGCTGCCTCTCCTGTCCTGGTTCCTTCCTTTCCTCCCTCCCCTTCCCTCTCTGAGACTTTCCCGCCGGATCCCGCCCCGTCTGGTCTGCTTTCTCCGTCTCCCCTCGCCGCTGTCCTCACCATCTCTCTCTCTCATCGTGCGTCCTGGTGTCTCCCCGTGTCTGAGTTTCCATCTGGGGGGAGGGGGTCTCTCACAATGTCTGTCTCTCTCTCTGATCCCCCCTCACCCCCCCTCCCCACACACACAGCCCCCCAGGGCCTGTCGGGCCACCACACACCCTACTGCCGGCCTCTGGGTCCCTGAGACCCTTTAACCTGTGAGGACGTCCAGGATCACAGGTGAGGTTCTTGGGAGCCTGGCATCCGGCCCAACCACACAGCCTGGAGGCTGCGGGCCCGACACCTGACCCCTGACCCCTCTCTCCTTCTCCTTCCTCCCTCCAACCCCAAGCCTGACCTCTGACCTGCCAGAGGAATCTGGCCTCTGACCTCAGACCACAGGCCCCTCCCTCCCCGTCCCACAGTGACCTCACAAAGGTCAGCCGCTGCTTCTCTTTCTCCCCCCCCCTCCTCCTCCCCTCCACACAGCCCCTGCCCCTCTGTGATGGCCCAGCTGGCTGCGGCCAGCGCGGCCCCCTGTGCCCTGCTGGCCCTCACGGCCTTCTCGGGGGCTCCGGCCTGGGCCTGTCTCCTCTGCTTCACGTCCTACAGCGAGCGCCATCGCATCTGCCAGATCTTCGCGGGGGTGGAGGGTCCGAGAGTGGAGAAGTGTGAGGAGGCGTTCTCCGATGCCTTTAAGGGCCTCCAGGACGCTGAGATCAGTGAGGGGAGCCCCACCTTCCTCTCTCCGCGGGGCCGGGGCCGGGGGCCGGGGGGGGGGGGGGGCAGAGAGGTCTAGAGAGACCCAGCATGAGAGAGAGACCACAGTTGACAGCAGACTGGCAGATAGGAATGGGGGACAGAGGCCCGAGGGGAGGATAGAGGCCGGACAGAAACTGGGGACAAAGACTCCAGCGGACAGGAGGCTAGAGATGGGGGACTGGGAGGAGTGGGGTGGCGGGCCAGAGAGGCAAGAGATGGGGGACAGAGGCTTAGAAAGGGGAAGGTCAAGACTGAAGGTAGAGGCGCAGAGAGGGGAGGATCGAGGCTCCGGGGGAGATACAGGCTCAGGGGACAGATTCAGAGGGAGGAGGATTGATTTATTTATTTTTATTTTTTAAATATATTTTATTGAGTTTTTACAGAGAGGAAGAGAGAGGGGTAGAAAGCTGGAAACATCGATGAGAGAGAAACATCGACCAGCTGCCTCCTGCACGCCCCCCACTGGGGATGTGCCCGCAACCAAGGTACATGCCCTTGACTGGAATCGAACCTGGGACCCTTCTATCCACTGAGCCAGACCGGTTTCGGCATTTATTGTTTTCATTATTTTTGTAATCCTCAACCGAGGATTTTTCCCCCCACTGATTTTTAGAGAGAATGGGAGAGAGGGAAAGACGGAAACATCGATGGGAGAGAAACACATCGATGGGTTGCCTCCTGCAATCAGAGCCCCGGATCGGGGGAGGAGCCTGCAACGATGGTACAGGCCCTTGACCGGAACGGAACTCCGGACCCTTCCTTCTGAGCCAAACTGCCTAGGGCAGTGGTCAGCCAACTTTCAACAGGACGATTGAAGTTTCTTTTGAGAGCCGAATAGTTTAAACTTCTTCTAACGCCACTTCTTCAACATAGACTCTCCCATGTGCCGTGGTATTTTGTGGAAGAGCCACACTCAAGGGGCCCAAGGGCCGCCTGTGGCTCTCGAGCCGCAGTTTGCCGACCACGGGGCTGGGGTGGAGGGAGGAGGATTTAGATGGGAGGACGGAGACGCATCGATACAGGACGAAGCCTTAGAGAGACAGAGCATGTCTGCACGGGTGATAGGTTAGGGGGGCTGCTTCCCTCAGCCTCTGCCTTACCCCCACCCCCACCCGCACCCCCAGATTACGATGAGAGAGGCCACCTGCATGACTCCTTCTCCCAGATCACCTTCTCCCTCCAGGAGATAGCCAGCGCTCAGGGTGAGTGGGGGGAGGGGGTGTTGGACGGCAGCAGCGGAAGATGCGGGCTTGGGACCCATGAGAGATGGGGTGTGTGTGGGGGGGTGGGGGGACATGGGGGGGTGCCCCTGGAATGTGGCAGTGGTCTAGGAGCAGGGGTCGCTGGGTAGCCAGTTCCTTGTTGGGGACGTGAAGGCGGGAAGGACAGAGACAGTCCTGGTAGACCCCAGAGCCGGAAGCCCAGGCCGGACCAGGTAGATGGGAGCTCCGGCCTGGCTGTGTGTGTGGCTCTTCTTGGGCATGAAGTTCAGGACGCGTCGCGGCCTCCTCCTGTGCCTCGACTTACCTACCTGTGCCATGGGACACCTTCCCTGCCTCCCGGGATGGCTTGGGAGCTCAGAGAGGGGGAGAGGGTCCCTGAGGAGAGGACCTCAAACAGGAGATCTTTCTCTGGGATAGAGCACAGGGTCCTTATGCCAGGGACCGGAACTGCTTGGGGAGGCAGGGAGGCCCAGCTCTTGGTGTGGCCGAAACTGGCCTCCTCGGAGGTCTGGGGGCTCACGACTTATTTCTACTGCTGCCGTTACTTCTTGCCCACCAAACATTTTTTTTTTAAATATATATTTTATTGATTTTAGAGAGGAAGGGAGAGGGAGAAAGAGAGGGAAACATCCATGATGAGAGAAAATCATTGATCGGCTGCCTCCTGCACGCCCCCTACTGGGGATCGAGCCTGCAACCCAGGCATGTGCCCTTGGCTGGAATTGAACCTGGGACCTTTCAGTCCACAGGCTGATGCTTTATTCACTGAGCCAAACCAGCTAGGGCCCCACCAAACATTTTGACAGAGAGATTCCCAAAGGTGGGAAGGAGCCCACCTCTCCAGGGGGTGGCTGGGGGTCTGGGGTTGGAGGAGACTTCAGCTGCGATCCACCAACCCCCAGGAAGACCTGAAGAAGCAGAGCTGGCAGAGATGGGGGCCAGGGGGGCAGGGCAGGACCCTGGGAAACGCCCTTTCCCCCCACAGGGGCTGTGTTGTCCCAGAGGATGTTGAAATGGGGGCGGGGGGGGGCAAAGGGCTGGATGGAGGCTGGGGTGAAGGAGGCTTGAGCTGGGGCGGGGGCTGTGGGGAGAGGACACAGGGACAGGGCTGAGGGAGTCCAGGGCAGGATGGGTGTGGCTTGGGTCTGACGGGCAGTCCCTCCCCGGGGAGAGGGGAGAGGACGCTTGGAGGACAGCCTGGGTCTGTGGGTGGGTACTGGGTCATCCCTCAGATGGGGGTGGGGGGGGGCGGGGTATCTAGGAAAAGAAGCAGTGGGGGTAGATGGGCTGGGCTAGGCCATAGCGACTGTGGGAGACTCAGGGGACATCTGGATAAATGGGTCCAGGGTGTAGCTCAAAGGTGAGGAAGATTTGAGACTCTGCCTTGTGGGCAGGGGGAGGACAGGGTCCGCTCTGGGCATAGAAAGTCGCCCTGGAGCTGGGTGAGGACCTACTGGAGGCCGGGAGAAGCTGGTGCAATATGTCCTGCAGAGAGATGTTTCATGTGCCGGGAGCAACACTGACAATCCCCTGCCCTCAGGTGGCGTATATTGCCCGGGGCGGGACAGACGAGAAAACGTAATCAATGAACGACTATAGGGTGTCCATTGGTGAACCACGCTGTGGAGGGAAACGGAACAGGACTGGGCCCGTGGGTGGATCATTTTTTTTTATTTTTTTTTTACTTTTTATTGATTTCTTACAGAGAGGAAGGGAGAGGGATAGAGAGCGAGGAACATCGATGAGAGAGAGACATTGACCATCTGCCTCCTGCACACCTCCCACCGGGGATGTGCCCACAACCAATGTACGTGCTCTTGACCGGAATTGAACCTGGGACCTTTCAGTCCGCAGGCCGATGTTCTATCTACTGAGCCAAACCGGTTTCAGCTAGGTGGATCATTTTAAACAGGTTGGGCAGGACAGGGGCACATGAGAAAGTCCAAGTGAGCAAAGACCTTTGTCCATGAGTGCCTCGCAGAAAACCTGGGAGGAAAACATTCCAGGAAGAGGGGACTGCCGGTGCAAAGGCCGTGGGGTCAATCAGTGTGGTTGGTGTGACATCATTGAGGGAGAAATCGAAATCAGGGAGGCAGCCGAAACTGGTTTGGCTCAGTGGATAGAGACTCAGACTGAAGGGTCTCGGGTTCAATTCCGGTCAAGGGCATGCACCTTGGTTGCAGGCATATCCCCGATGGGAGGTGTGCAGGAGACAGCTGATCGATGTTTCTCTCTCATCGATGTTTCTCGCTCTATCCCTCTCTCTTCCTCTCTGTAAAAAAATCAATAAAATATATATATATTTTTAAAAGATATATATTTTATTGATTTTCTTACAGAGAGGGATAGAGACATCCATGAGAGAGAATCATCGATCAGCTGCCTCCTGCACCACCCCCACTGGGGATGTGCCCGCAACCAAGGTACATGCCCTTGATCAGAATCGAACCTGGGACCCCTCAGTCAGCAGGCTGACGCTCTATCCACTGAGCCAAACCGGTCTTAGCAATAAAATATTATTTTTAAAAAGAAAAATCAGTGAGGCAGCAAAGGGTTGCCTCCTGTAGGACCATGTAGGTCAGCGATTCTTCAGCCCTAGTGTACGAATTCTCAGAATCTTTTTGGGATCATGTTCAAAGGCAGGGTCCTGGGCCCAACCCTCCGTTTCTGACCAGTAAAGGTCTGAGGTATGGCCCAGAAATGGGACATTTCTTACAAGTTCCCTGGAGCACACGTTGAGAACCGCTGCCTTGCACCAACTCTGGCCTTAAGAAGGAGACAGGATATGAAGGAGGCTGTGTGGGACTAGGACAGAAGCAGGGTGACTGGTTGGTGGCTCAGACGAATGGCAGTGGTCCAGGTGGGTCAAGATGAGTCCTGAGCTGAGGGAGATGGAACACGAAGATGGAGGAGAAGATGGTTGGTCAAGGATCTGACCGTATGCTCAGCCTGCCCCATATGTGGGATAGGCCAGTGATCGGCAAACTCATTAGTCCACAGAGCCAAATATCAAAAGTACGACAATTGAAATTTCTTTGGAGAGCCACATTTTTAAAACTTCAACTTCTTCTAACACCGCTTCTTCAAAATAGACTCACCCAGGCCGTGGTATTTTATTTTTTATTTATTTACTTATTTTTTTTTAAATGTGGCATTTTATTTTATTTTATTTTATTTTAAATATATTTTATTGATTTTTCACAGAGAGGAAGAGAGAGGGATAGAGAGTTAGAAACATCGATGAGAGAGAATCATCGATCAGCTGCCTCTTGCACACCCCCTACTGGGGATGCGCCCACAACCAAGGTACATGCCCTTGACCGGAATCGAACCCGGGACCTTTCAGTCCCCAGGCCGACGCTCTATCCACTGAGCCAAACCAGTCCCGGCAGGCCGTGGTATTTTATGGAAGAGCCACACTCAAGGGGCCCAAGAGCCGCAGTTTGCCGACCACTGGGCTAGGGCAAGGGTGAATTACTTAAAACAAAATTTTTAAAAAAAAATATATTTCAGAGAGGAAGGGAGAGAGGGAGAAATATCCATGATGAGAATCATGGACCAGCTGTCTCAGGCACGCCTCCCCACTGGGGATGGAGCCAGACATATTCTCAAGGATAGCCTCCTACTGGTCTGGTCAGATGGGGTTTTATATCTCCCCTATTTCTAGATGAAGAAATTGGGGCCCAGCTAGACAGGGAGAACAGACCCAAGAGATACCTAGACCACAGTTCTATGAGGTGAGAGCAATAGGAAAAGAGCAAGGTTGATCCTGGGTCTCTCGCAGAGGGAGGGACACACTGACTTAGAGTGGGTCTCAGAGGTGGCAAGTGGTAGATTGCATATATAAACCACAGAGTGGATAGCATGAGGTAGGTCACATGATCACAGCTAGCTGCAAGGGAGGCTGGGAATTTTTTTTTTTTTTTTTTTTTTTTTTTTTTTAGCTGGGAGTGCTTTCCTGGCTGAAAGCATTCTGTTACTAAAGAGTAATAAGCTATTTGGAAGCAGTGGTTGCCTGTGGAGCTCTGGAGCCCGACCACCTGGGTTCAGATCTAACCATTCTGATGCTGAGCCACTCTGCTAAACCTCTCCTCTTTCCCCATCTCAAACTTGGGGATGGTACGTGGCCGGCCCCTCGGTACCACTCACTGTTCCGGGCACCTTTCTAAGTGGTGACAGGCAGTCTCTCATGCGGTCACTAAATGGTGTCTGGCACACAATTTGGGGGAAGTAGGGGAAGTGGGAATGCTTTTATGTTGTATAGCATTAAATGTTCCCCAAACCCAGTACGGTAGCCCCCGATATTGTCCCAATTTTAGGAACGAGGAAAGTGAGGAAGGTTAAGTCACATGGGGGAGAGGGGGCGGTCTCAGGATGGATGTCCCACCAGATGTGAGTCGGGTGTGCCCATAAGTGGAAGAGCCAGGACTCAGATCCAGGCCTTGGGAGCACCGGAAGCTCCTAACCAGAAGACGACTCTTTTGAAGAGCGTTATCGGCACCACCATGTGGTCCGTCTGATATGACCCTTGCCTCTCGGCCTCTGGACATGTCCACTCTTACCTCCCCTGGTTTCATGGATCTGTAATACCCCGCCCCCGTGGCTTACTTGGTAAGTCTCTCGTTCACCCTCACCATGAATCCCTTGATTTGGCCCATAGGTATTTCTTGAGTGACTCCTCCAACATCCTGGCCTTTCACACGAGCGCCCTGCCCTGACCACATCTTCCTGGTCATCCTGTCCTCTCCAGACCACTTGGCTGCCCTGTGGCCAAGACGAGACCTCTTAAGCCCTTGACTCTTCATCTTGAACCCACTTCCTGGCTTCGGTACCCCTCTCTCCAGCTTATACCCAGCCACTCTTGCCAGTATTCTCATTTCACTCCCTTCGTATATTTGGTTTTAAGTCACGGAGGAACCCGAAATGGCTGACGCTATGGGAAGCCTATTTTTCCCATACCAAACAAGGCTTGAGACAGGCACGTAAGGCTAGCACGACTGCTCCATTTTCTTGGGAACCTAAGGTCCTCCCAGCTTTCTGCTTTGTCATCCTAGACTGTTCCCCTTGTCCTCAGGGTCTTATGTGACTGATAGGGCTCCAGCCACCAAATCCAAGTTTCAAGCAGCAGGATAGAAGGTGGCACATGTTACTCAGTAAGAAGGCTACTTCCTGAGACCCCCACAAGGACACTTCCACTTGTATCTCAATAGCCATGACTTAGTCATGTGACCACTAGTTCACATGATTCTAGCTGCAAGGGAGGCTGGGAAATGTAGGGTTTTTTTTTTGTTTGTTTTTTTTTTAGTGGGGGTGCTTTTCTGGCTGAAAGCATTCTGTTTAAAGCGTAATAAGCTATTTGGAGGAAATAGCAATGTCTGTGTGTTAGTTTGCTGCTGCTGCTGCTGTATTTACCACAGACTGGGTGGCTTAAAACAAGAGAAACATTTTTTCACTATTCTGGAGGATGGAAGTCCAAGATCAAGGTATCCGTGTCAGCAGGGTTGATTTCTTCTGAGGCCTCTTTCCTTGATGTAGTTGATCTCTCTCCCAGTGTTTCCGTATGGCCTTCCCTCTGTGAGTCCACATGTCCTCCTAATTAGGAAGTCCGTCCCATTGCATTGAGGCTCATCCTAATGGCCTCATTTCAGCTTCATTCGCTCTGTAAGACTGTCTCCAAATACAGCCACATTCTGAGCTCCCAGGAGTTAGCCTAAAACACCCTCTGCTTTTCTGACTTCCAAAACGACTTCCACCACCAAACACAATCCAGCCGTCCCCCTTTGGGAAAAAGTCACAGAACCTTCCAGTTTGGAAGGCGATGGTCACCAACAACCATAAGGAGGGAGAACGTGAAGGAATGAAGGAGGAGAAATGAATCCAGGAGGGGGTTATGGCGGGGTGTCAGGTACACGCCGTGACTAAGGGGGTGGAGGCTGCTAAGCTCCAGCTAGTTGCAGCCTCGTGGGAATTCTGTGTCTGTTACAGCTCTCCCAAATGTTTTAAAGCATATGCAAACATTCTATGTGACTTCCCCCAAATCTTACAATGGCCACTGGTTCGTTATTTTAACACTGTCCAGGTTAAATATAACATCCAGTGGGTGGAATTGGACCACAGGCCACCACCGATGTGGTCTCCACCCCAGTTGAATACTGAAGTTCTACACGTGATGACTAAACTTTTTTTTTTTTAAATAATGTTTCTATTGACTTTTAGAGAGAGAAAAGGAGAGGAATAGAGAGAGAGGAACATCTTTGATTGGCTGCTCCCTGCAAACTCCTTACTGAAGATTGAGGCAATCCCTGGCATGTGCCCTGACGAAGAATCGAACCAGCGACCTCTTGGTTCCTGGGTTGCTCAACCACTGAGTCACACTGGCCGGGCATTACTTAGCACTTTCTAAGACTCAGAGCCGGCTCCTGGGTTCTAGGAGCACAGCACTAAAGGAGAACATGTTTACTTGAGATAGACTTTAAATAATCACCATATTTATAAAGTAATTACAAACTGACGAGAGCTATGAATGCAATGAAGGAGGGACTAAGAAAAATAGGGAACTTGGTTATATTAGGAATTTAGTCAGGGAACACCTTTTAAGTAAATGACTCAAAGTATGACGTGAAATTTTTTAAAAAATATATTTTACTGATTTTTTTACAGGGAGCCAGGGAGAGGGATAGAAAGCTAGAAACATCGATGAGAGAGAAACATCAACTAGATGCCTCCTGCACATCCCCCGCTGGGGATGTGTCCGCAACCAAAGTACATGCCTTTGACCAGAATCGAACCTGGGACCTTTCGGTCCACAGACCGATGCTCTATCCACTGAGCCAAGCCGGTTTAGGTGACGTGAACTATTTTTTTTTTTTCAGGAACTTTTTGGTTTTTTAAATTTTTGTATTGATTTCAGAGATGAAGGGAGAGGGAGAGAAAGACATCAAAAGTGAGAGAATCATTGATTGGCTGCCTCCTGCACGCCCCCTACCAGGGATTGAACCAGAAACCCCAGCACATCCCTGACTTGGAATCGAACCTGGGACCCTTCAGTCTGCAGGCTGGACTCTTATCCAATGAGCCAAACCAGCTGGGGCTGATGTGACTCCTAGGAGCTCTCAAATAATGCCTTTGTAATTCATGCCTACGTGTGTACGCACTGCCTGTGGAAGGCATGGCATGGAGGATGAAGAGGAGAAGGGGGAGGATGTCCTAGCCACAAGCCAGCATGTGCAAAGGTCCTGAGATGCCGGGAAATATGCTCTCCCACGTAGGAGAAGTGAAAGATGCACAATGGGGATGAAGCCTTGGTGGGGCATGTGATCTTCAACCTCCCTTTTCCCCTCCACATGATAAACACAGAGGATGCAGAGAAGGGCTTCTATCAGAGGGACCCTCAGGAGGAGGAAAGGAGGAGGTTGGGAATAGACTGGGTGGGAGAAGGTAAGAGGAGGAAATGGTGTCTATACCAAAAGCGGGAAGAGAGAGGGGCTGGGGAAGAGGCACAGACCACCGTTAAGGTGAGTCCAGCTGAGCTCGGGCAGCCGCGGGGGCCGGGGTGGTGGAGGAGGGGAGAGTCTTCACCACAAGGCTTCCCTCCCTCCATCCTCCAGGATCCTATTTGGTTGCCTTCCCTTACGCTGCAAAGAAAATGCAGGAGGTCATTGCACGGCTTAAGAAAGGTAAAATGGACTCCAACTCCTTCCCCCAGGTGTACACACACACACACACACACACAGTCTTAAAACGGCCATGCGCCTGATGGGTCTCTGAACCGCTTGTCCTGGGTGGGACACAGGCTCTCCTCCTGCAGGAACCACCGAGGACCTGTCCCCCCTCCCCCACCGCCCCTTCGATCTGAGGTTCCCTCCCCAGCAAAGATTCCTTCTTGGGATAGTCCTGTCCCAGATTAGCCTGAGCCTCTGGCTTGGGATCTGGCCCCGCGCCGCCGCTGTGCTAGCAGCGGGCTGCTGGCTTCAGGCCTGGCCACACCTCTAAGTGGGCCCCAGAGGATCGCCAGGGGCCCGGCCCCGCCCCCTCGCTGGAATGCACCAGGGCTGGCCCCGCCTCCTCTGCACACAGCAGGCCGGTGCCACCCTCAGATGGCCAGAAGCCACCGGGCCCTGACCTCTGGTGGGGCTCTGCAGGTCCTGCCGGGTCCCCTGGTGGAATGCCCCTAGCTCAGTCACGTACCCTAGGGGCGCTCCGGGTGGGCACCTCCCTGCACTCCCTCCCAGGGCTGTAACGCCCCCCCTCTCTCTGCAGTTCCGGCCTGCGTCCCTCCCTGCGGTAAGCACGTCACTCAAAGCTCAGGATTGCGGGGGGGTGAGGGACGCGGTCTGGGCCGAAACTGGGGGGATGAGGGGGCCCTCAGATCGAAGGAAGCCAGTAAGAGCCCTGCAGGAAAAAAAAAGCAGGCATTGCTTCCCCAACCTCATAAAAGGCGGGTCCGAAAGCCAAAGCAAACCTACAAAAGAAAAAAAATCCCCCGGGGGGTTGGGGGGGGGACGAAGAATGGGGAGAACCAGCCAATGAGCGCAGAGAAGGCGGGGCCCGGCTTCCTGCGGGCGGAACCCCAGGGAGGCTTCCAGCCGCTGACTCGCCTGCCCAGAGGGACGGGGCTGGGAAAGGCTGGCGGCGCCCAGACCCAGCGTCCCCGCCCACAGGGTTCCAGGAGCTGTCCCGGCGTTTCCTCTGCCTCGGGTGCTACTCCAAGGTCTGCGACCTCCCGCTGGACTGCCCAAGTGAGGGCCGGGCGCCCGGGGGGCGGGAACCGGAGGAACCCAGGCAGGACTGAGCAGGAGGGGGCGTGGTTTGAGGGTGTGGCTAGAGGGAGGGGCGTGGCCGAGAGCGGAGCTGGATGCGAAGGGGGCGTGGCCGAGGGCGGGGCTGGAGGAGAAGGGGGCGTGGTCGAGTCGAGGGTGTGGCTAGAGGGAGGGGGTGTGGTCGAGGACTGAGCCCGTGACGGAGGGGGCGTGATCGAGGGCGAGGCTGGAGGAGAGGTGTGGCCGGAGGGGGCGTGGTTGAGGGCGGGGCTAGAGGTGGGCGGGATAGGGGCTGAAGCGGGCGTGGTCGAGGGGCTGGGCCTGCAGAGAATGGGGCGTGGTCGGGGCTGGGGCCGGTGGGGGCGTGGTCGAAGGTTGGCCGGTGGGAGGGGCGTGTCGAGGGCGGGGCCCAGGTGGTGACGCGGCCCGTCTCCAGTTCAGGACGTGACTGTGCGACGGGGCGATCAGGCCACGTTCTCCTGCACCGTGAACTTCCAGCTGCCCAAAGAGGAGATCACCTACTCCTGGAAGTTCGCAGAAGGAGGTGTGAGTAGGGAGCGGGGCCCGCGCCGAGGGTTTTGGAGGCGAGTTAGGCTGCCTAGGAAGGTGGGGAGTCAGGACGCAGGGGTGGGACTGACTATACAGGGTAGGGGTGGGGGTGGGGATCTCGGCCTAGATGCAGGCTCCGTGCAGAGGGAGGGAGGGTCCTGGCATTCAGGGCAGGAGTTAAGGCTCACCCTGCGAGACCCGCCCACGCTTGGGGACTTTGCATAATTGTTTCAGGGCGGGTGAACCAGTGTCAGGGCCCAGGGGCGGAGTCAGATTTAGGAGGCGGGCCGAAACCGGTTTGGCTCAATGGATGGAGCGCCTACCTGCGGACTGAAGGGTCCCAGGTTCGATTCCGGTCAAGGGCGTGTACCTTGGTTATGGGCACATCCCCAGTAGGGGGCGTGCAGGAGGCAGCGGATGGATGTTTCTCTCTCATCGATGTTTCTAAACCTCTATCCCTCTCCCTTCCTCTCCGTAAGAAATCAAAATATATTTTTAAAAAGATTCAGGAGGCTGGGGGATACTTGAATGGTCGACAAGGGCGGAGGGTGAGGCTCCAGGGGGCGTGGTCTAGCTAGGAGGCGGGGCTTGTAGGTGGTCCGGAGCCAGTCCGATGGGAGTCTGACCTAGGGGTCTGCCCCCTCCCCCCCCCCCCCCCCCCCCCCCCCGGTTTCAGCCAGAGCATCCCCGCAGGTGCGGACGCGGGACACGTCCTTCTTCCGGGAGATGCCCCGGGCCCGCGGGTACCTGGCGCGGATCCGGCCGGTGCAGCCCACGCACAGCGGCACCTTCTCCTGCGTGATCACCCACGACGAGCTCCCCGTGGCGCGCCTCTACTTCTTCCTCAACGGTGCGGGCGGGGGCGGGGCTAGAGGGGCGGGGCTGCGGGAAGGGCGGGGCTTTGGGCCGGGTTGCGGGCGGGGGCGGGGCTTTGGGGCCGGGCTGCGGGAGGGGCGGGGCTTTGGGCCGGGCTGCGGGCGGGGGCGGGACTGACCTGTGCGCCCCGCAGTGACCGGCCCTCCCCCGCGCGGGGAGACGGAGCTCCAGGGCACCTTCCGGGAGGTGGTTCGCTGGGCGCCGCGGGAGGAGGAGGGGGTCGAACCCTGGAAGCCCGGGCTGGGCGAGCTGCTGGCCGAGCCTGGGGCTCTGACGTCCGGCAACCTGTTCCTGCTCGCGGCCGCCGCAGCCTTGGCCTCCGCCGGGGTGACGGTGCTGGCGTGGTGAGTACCCGGGTCATCGCAGCACCGGGCTCCCCTGAGTGTCCGTTCCTCCTTTTTCAGACCCAGGGGTCCAGGCCCCAGGCCCCCAGGCCCCTCCTCCCTCAGACCCAGAAGTTCAGGCTCCCAGCCCCTCCTCCTTCAGGCCCAGGCCTCTCCTCCCTCAGACCCCCAGCTTCTCCTCCCTCAGACCCAGGAGTCCAGGCCCCCAGCCCCTCCTCCCTCAGACCCAGGCCCCTCCTCCCTCAGACCCCCAGCCTCTCCTCCCTCAGACCCAGGCCCCTCCCCCTCAGACTCAGGAGCCCAGGCCCCAAGCCCTCCTCCCTCAGACCCAGGAGTTCAGGCTCCCAGCCCCTCCTCCCTCAAACCCAGGCCCCCAGCCCCTCCTCTCTCAGACCCAGGCTCCCAGCCCCTCCTCCCTCAGACCCAGGAGCCCAGGCCCCCAGCCCTCCTCCCTCAGACCCAAGGGTCCAGGCCCCCAGCCCCTCCTCCCTCAGACCCAGGAGACCAGGCCCCAGCCCCTCCTCCCTCAGACCCAGGGGTCCAGGCCCCCAGCCCTCCTCCCTCAGACCCAGGGGTCCAGGCCCCCAGCCCTCCTCCCTCAGACCCAGGGGTCCAGGCCCCTAGCCCCTCCTCCCTCAGACCCAGGGGTCCAGGCCCCCAGCCCTCCTCCCTCAGACCCAGGGGTCCAGGCCCCCAGCCCCTCCTCCCTCAGACCCAGGGGCCCGGACCCCCAGCCCCTCCTCCCTCAGACCCAGGGGTCCAGGCCCCCAGCCCCTCCTCCCTCAGACCCAGGGGCCCGGGCCCCAGCCCCTCCTCCCTCAGACCCAGGGGTCCAGGCCCCCAGCCCCTCCTCCCTCAGACCCAGGGGTCCAGGCCCCCAGCCCCTCCTCCCTCAGACCCAGGGGTCCAGGCCCCCAGCCCCTCCTCCCTCAGGCACAGGGGTCCAGGCCCCCAGCCCCTCCTCCCTCAGACCCAGGGGTCCAGGCCCCCAGCCCCTCCTCCCTCAGACCCAGGGGCCCGGGCCCCAGCCCCTCCTCCCTCAGACCCAGGGGCCCGGGCCCCAGCCCCTCCTCCCTCAGACCCAGGGACCCGGGCCCCAGCCCCTCCTCCCTCAGACCCAGGGGTCCAGGCCCCCAGCCCCTCCTCCCTCAGGCACAGGGGTCCAGGCCCTCTCCACCTTTGGGACTCAGATATCTGCTACCCCAGCTTCTCTCCACACACAACCGCCTTTCTTTCCCCAGGGCGTTCTTTCTATGGTACTTCAGTGGCAACTAACCAAGGTATCTTTCTGATCCCTATCCTATTTCCATTCCTAAAATAAAGAATATATTTCAACTCTACAAAGGCTTTCCTCTTTGAAGGTGGGGTTCCTGCCCATTTAGGTAGGAGGAGGGGCAGCCTGCCCCAAATATGCCCCGGAATTGTGCTTCTGGTATGACTGTAATATTATATATATTTTTTTAAAACATTTTTTATTGATCTTTTACAGAGAGGAAGAGAGAGGGATAGAGAGCTAGAAACATTGATGAGAGAGAATCATTGATCAGCTGCCTCTTGCACAGCCCCTACTGGGGATGTGCCCGCAACCAATGTATTATACATGCCCTTGACCAGAATCGAATCTGGGACCTTTCAGTTCGCAGGCCGACACTCTATCCACTGAGCCAAACCGGTTTAGGCTCCTCCTTTTTTTTTTTGTCCAATTAACTCGGTTATGACTTCCCCATTCAGCCTTCACATGTACAGTCAAACCTCGAAATTACAGACTCCTTCGGGCCAGTGAGTGTCTGTTAAAGCCAAAAGGCCATTATACAATGAAGTAGGTTTTCCTGAATGCGCATGTTAAAGAAATTGACAAATCAGGTTACTGTTTTTACTTAGGTGGACACATTTGTGTAATTGAAATTAAGTATGAATGAAAAGTTTAATTTCACAGAAAAGCTTTCTGTATGTCTTACTGTAATTTCAAGTTTGTACTGTATAGGCCTAACGCCAGTGGTCGGCAAACGGTGGCTTGTGAGCCACCATTCGGCTCTTTGGCCCCTTGAGTTTTTAGCAAAGGCCAGCTTAGGAGTCCCCTAATTAAGTTAATAACATTGTATCTACCTAAATAGTTTTAAGTTGAAAAAATGTGGCTCCCAAAAGAAACTTTTGACAACAGTCATCCTGTGGATATTTGGCTCTGGTGACTAATGAGTTTGCCGACCACTGGCTTAGCCAATGCCTACATTTACCAGTCACCCTGCGGACTCAAGGGTCCCAGGTTCGATTCTGGTCAAGGGCATGTACCTTGGTTGCGGGCACATCCCCAGTGGGGAGTGTGCAAGAGGCAGCTGATCGATGTTTCTCTCTCATTGATGTTTCTAGCTCTCTATCCCTTTCCCTTCCTCTCTGTATTAAAAAAACAAACAAACAAAACCAATAAAATATAGTTTTAAAAATATTTTTTTAAATGAAATAATAAAGGTATTCCAGCAAAAGAAACAGCAGAAGGAAAAGCCCTGAGGCTTGCTGTAACCAGTTTGGCTCGGCGGATAGAGCATCAGCCTTTGGACTGAAGGGTCCCAAGTTCAATTCCGGTCAAGGGCATGTACCTTGGTTGCAGGCACATCCCCAGTAGGAGGTGTGCAGGAGGCAGCTGATGGATGTTTCTTTTCTCATCCATGTTTCTAACTCTCTATCCCTCTCCCTTCCTCTCTGTAAAAATCAATAAAATATATATTTTTTAAAACACACACACAAAAAAACCCTGAAGCTGGAATGTGCCATGTGGGAAGAGGAAGGGGGGGGGGGGAGGATAGCAGGGAGGCCAGTGCAGCTGGCGCCGGGCTGTAGGAAATGAGTGTGTGGTGAGGTCATGGGGAGCGCCGGGTCACGCAGGACGGGGGCCGCTGTCAGTGAGTCTGGATTTTCCTGTGTGAGCTCATGGGTCCTTTTTGAGTCAAGAGAGGTGATGAGTTGATTGGATGTCCACTGTATGGATAACAGACGCTGAGGGTGCGTCTGGAATTTGGGGCGAGGGCTGATCTGAAGATAAACATTTCAGAGTCCCTTCTCTAGGCACGGAGCGCTGGGTGCACAGAGGAAGTGAGTGTCGCTGGACGAGAAGGTGACGATAAGAAGTGTCTCTAAGGCTACACAGGAGGCGACATGAAGAGGGACCCAGAAGGGAAGAGGGAAGCGGGGCAGCTGGCATTCTGAAAGGCGAGTGAAGAGAGCTTGTCAGGCCCTGTCCGGTGTGGCTCTGTTGGTGGGGCGGTGTCCTGTGCACCAGAGGGTCGCTGGTTCAATACCCGGTCAGGGCACATGCCCGGGTAACGGGCTTGATCCCCAGTAGGGGGAGTGCAGGAGGCAGCCAATTGGTGTTTACCCTTCTCTCTCTAAAATCCATTAAAGATATATATATTTTTTTTAATAGATTTTTTTTTCAGAGAGGAAGAGCGGGATAGAGAGTTATAAACATTGATGGGGAAGAAACATTAATCAGCTGCCTCTTGCACACCTCCTAACTGGGGATGTGCCCGCAACCTAGGTACATGCCCTTGACCGGAATCGAACCTGGGACCCTTCAGTCCAGAGGCCGACTCTCTATCCACCGAGCCAAACCGGTGAGGACAGTAAAAATATTTATTTAAAAAAAAAAAAAAAAATATATATATATATATATATATATATATATAATTTTTTTTTTTTTTTTTTTTTTTTTTAGAGAGAGGAAGGAAGGGGATGTGCCCCTTGACTAGTGCCAAACCAGTTAGGGCTAAAAATACATTTTTTTTTTTTTTTTAAAAAGCTGGAAACCGAGGGCTGAGCCAGAAGTCCCCACTCCTCCACCACACAGCCCCCCTGCATTCACAACCCCAAAAAGACGTGTCAGGGAAGAAAAATAAATAAACGTTTTTATTACACCCTAATCACACAGTACACATACATGGAGATTTAAATTAAGAGCAGAGAGCAGCTGGGGGCCCCTTTCCCCCATGCCCCTAAAAAAAAAAAAAAAATCAAAAATCACACCCTGATCAATAAATACCCCCCCTCCCCCAGAGACCCAGAAGGCCCAGCCCCACAACAGTCCAAGCTGCAGAATCTTGAGCGTAACCCCTCCCACCACCACCACCACCACCACCTCCCTTCCCAGAGGAGGGAAACTGAGGCCCAGAGACCTCCCCCCCCTCCTTCCCCCCAGCAAGTTCATCCGCAGCTCCTGGGGCGCAGGAAGGTGTCTCCATCTTCCGTGCATCCTCCTCCTGGATCCCTGGAGCCGGTCACACCTGCACGCGGTAGCCCCCCGCCCTGCGCCTGCAGAGCCTCCGCACGCCCACCCAGTAGAGCGCCAGCATGAGCGCCCAGTAGCCCACGTAGGCGCCGGCGCCGGCCGCCAGGTGGCGCGCTTCGGCGGCGCGCGCGGGCCCGCTCCAGTCGGCGCGCGCCTCCCGCGCCACGCTGCGCGCCAGGCCGCCCAGCAGCAGCAGCGCCCACAGCGCCAGCGGCAGCACCGGCACGTAGTTGGCGGCCAGCTTGCGGCGGCCCGACGTGCCCCAGCCGCTCTGGTTCATGGTGGCCAGCGCCAGGAACTTGGCGGGCAGCAGGCCGCCCATGTAGAGCGGCGCGTAGAGCGACAGCAGCAGCATGCGGCCGCAGCCGCGCAGCCAGGCCGCGAAGGCCGCCTTGGCCAGCGCCACGCCCTGCACGCACAGCAGCACCCACAGCAGCGCCCACGGGCGGCCCGCGTAGAACAGCCGCAGCACCGTGGCCGCCACGAAGAAGGGGAACAGGCCCGACACCACCGCCTCGTACGTCATCCACGCGTGGTGCCGGTGCCACCACAGCGCGTTGTACAGCCACTCGCGGAAGTAGGACTTGGACCAGCGCGTCTGCTGGCTCAGCCAGCGCAGGAAGGACGCGGGCGTCTCCGAGTAGCAGCGGGACCGGGACGTGTACCTGCAAAAGGGGGGGGGGAGAGAAGTGGGCATCAGCGAGGCTTTCCTTGGGGGGCAGGAATCCGGAGCCATTTGGCCCCTAAGACCATGACACACACACACACACACACACACACACACCCCAGGGCAAGCTTTCTGAACCTCTCTGAGCCTCAGTGGTACCCTATTATTTTTAATATGATTTATTGATTTTTATTTTATTTTATTGATTTGTTACAGAGAGGAAGGAAGAGAGCTAGAGAGCCAGAAACATCGACCTGCTGCCTCCTGCACACCCCCTGTTGGGGATGTGCCCGCAGCCAAGGTACATGCCCTTGAGCGGAATCGGACTGGGACCCTTGAGTCCACAGGCCGATGCTCTATCCACTGAGCCAAACTGGTTCCGGCTTGATTTTTCTTACAAAGAGGAAGGGAGAAGGATAGAGAGTGAGAAAGAGCCGTCAGTTGCCTCCTGCACACCCCCTACTGGGGATATGCCCGCAACCAAGGTACATGCCCTTGACCGGAATCGAACTGGAACCCTGAGTCCACAGGCCGATGCTCTATCCACTGAGCCAAATCGGGTTCGGCCCACATTTATTTTTTTAAATATATTTTTTACAGATTTCAGAGAAGGGAGAGGGAGAGATGGAAATACCGACGATGATAGCAGCACAATTCGCCATAGCTAAGATTTGGAAATAGTCTAGGTGCCCATCAGCAGATGATTGGACCAGAAAACGAATGGTTCATCTACTAAATGGAATACTACGCTGCCATAAAAAAGGAGGGATTCTTACCATTTGCAGCAGCCTGGATGGAACTGGAAAGCAATTATGCTGAGTGAAATTGGCCAGTCAGTGAATGAAAAATTCCACAAGATCTCACTCATTTGTGGATAATAAAGAACATTATAAAGGGATGAACAAGAAGATAGATACAGAGGCCGTAAAGCATCAAACAGACTGTCAAATTATAGCGAGAAGGTTAGGGAGAGGTGGGGGAGATAAGAGATCAAACGAAGGACTTATCTGCATGCACATAAGCATAACAAATGGACGCAAAACACTGGGGGGTGAGAGCATGTATGAGAGTGGGGTGGGGTGGGGCAATGGTAAGATATGTACACATATAGTAGCTTAATAAAAAATAGAGGAAAAAAGAATAAATATTAATAATGAGAATCATTGATCAGCTGCCTCATCAAGCCTGTAGACTGGGCATGTGCCCTGCCCAGGAATCCAACCGTGACCTCCTGGTTCATAGGTGTTCGCTCAACCACGGAGCTACGCCAGCTGGGCAGTATTACCCTATTTTAAAAGGGGTTTAGTAATGGTTTGTACCTAGTCCTAG